GATGTGAATAGCGACAATAAATCCGATATTATTGTTGCAAACTATGGCGATAATACCGTCAGTATCCTTCTCAACACAGGCAATGGCACCTTTAAGGCTCAAACTACTTACACAGCTGGTATGTACCCTCAAGCAGTAGCAGTCGTTGATGTGAATGGCGACAATAAACTCGATATTACCGTTGTAGACGTTGTCAATGGCAACCTCAATATTCTTCTTAACGCAGGCAACGGCACCTTTTATTATAGTGAAACTAATTACATAGTTGGTAGTCTACCATATTCAGTAGCAGCCGTTGATGTTAACAGTGATAACAAACCCGATATTGTTGTTTCAAACAAAGAGGATAATACCGTCAGTGTTCTCTTGCATTGTTAAGGCTTATTGATGGTTAACCTTTATTTATTCATTGATATTTTATTACTCTATTAAGTATATTACTCTTATAAAACATTACACAATACAGACTAACATTTATTTTCACTCTATATTATGAACTTCAATAAAACTTTGCAACCAAGGTTACCACCTCTTCTGCTTTTTTTCTGTCGCTTCTGCTTTTTCAGTTTTTTTTCTGCTTTTTAAAATATTATCTGCTTTTCATTTTTAACTCAATTTCAGTTCTAATACATTATTATTGCATACATATCCGATGAAGTCTTAGTGATGCATATTGTTGCTTTTTTGTCGTCTTTGTTGTATAATGGAAATTATTAAAATGGCGATATCGGATTTCTAATAGTTAATAAAAACGGTCAATATATACGCTACCTGCTGAGGTCGTTCTTTACCGATATCTTTCTTTCTGAAGTATGTTCTACTAATCATCCAAATCTTTCAATTCATTATACACAATCTTCGGACTATTGTTCGTCGTTGATTAAGAATATAATAAGCTGTAACATTTTTACTCAGCAGCAAAATTTTACTGATGCTAATGATAGCCATCTTGATCAAGATGGAGATAGTGAAGCATCAGTAACAATCGAGTCACAAATATCATCCAGTGATAAATCGAAAAAAAAGAAGTTGAAAAAGGAATACTTAATAGAGAATGGTTAAAGATCACGGAATATGAGTTATTTTTAAAAGAATACAAACTTCATGCAACTCAAACCACATGCGTTGCTGGCAATCAGCAGTTTTCAGTACATTATCGAGAAAAAGCTGATATTGACCATCATATAAAAACTCAAAAGCATCAAAACAATTAATTACAAAAACAATGAAACTATCAAAAGAAAAAGATGAAATTTCTGTTGCTGAAGTCGTTCTGGTTTATCATGGGTGAATGTGAGTGTTGGTATGGATATGAATGAGGACCAAGAGAAGCGACAATCACACCCACATCCGTTTCTACGGCCTTTATTACTAACGATCATGCTGAGCCATATAAATAACTTTGTTGAATCTCGATCAAGTTCAAAATTTCTGCTGCAGTAAACCACATACTTCTGCTATAGTTTATAAATTTTGTACGGAGACTCTTAGCCACTAGAGTTTATGTGAGGGCTACCTACAGCAATAGTGTTGATTCAACTCGAAACGAAGATCCAGTTTTCATTGTGCTGAGCATTTTTTTTTTGTTTTTTGAATATTTAAATATATAAAACTTTTTCATTTTTTAAGCCTACATCAGTAAAATTCTAACTAAGGAAATATCTTCCTACGTTTCATTAATTATCTAAGCGCACGCATCAAAAGAAAAATCTTGAGGGTATGGATGTGCAGTTTCGTCGTTATCAGCACTCACATTCACACCCTCAAGATTTTTCACTTGCTAAGAATAATAGATTTCTAAACATTTTAATTTATTCAATCGCATTTATTCGTCAGGGTTACTATCATAAAAGCTCTTTATGTGATTGATTTATCTTGTTTGACTATCAGATTTAAAACTACGTAGCTTTGTTTCATTTTGACTTGACAAAATAATAATCATCGTAAAGCTAGTTGAAAATTCTCTATGAGTAACTCTCTTTGGAGGAATCGAAGTTGCAACATTATAATACAATGTTTTTCATCTCTACCTGTTATCTCAACGCCGTTTTCAAAAATCATTCGTTTGCATTTTTTTATCAACAGAAGAAAGGATGACGTAAATGTCTTCGTTCTTTGATAAGGATCGTGAAAGGTAAAATGAATTTATGTTGGCTTTTTCTTCTCTTTGGTTGATTGAAGCACATATAAACTCACCTTTTGTTCTTTTTCTCACAAGAAAGCGAAAAAGTTAAGGTTAGAGAACATCTACTACAGCGATTTTTCTTGAAGAAAGTAAGTATTATTGAATTACTAAAGCAAAATATTGATTGCATCTGGACTGAAGTATTTTATTGTCGAACAAACCTGGACTCACACGGTAAACTTTTTTCAGTCATCACGCGATTGTAATTTGTTGAGGAAGCACATGAATTAAGTTTATAGATATACTCTTCCTTTAAATGAATTTAATTCTAGTGACGTTTCGGTAGGTTGATGCCTCCTTCGTCAGGCTTTTTTATTTATTTTAAAAAATCAAGAATTAGAACATTTATATATGTATATATGTTTTCTCATGATATTATTATAAAAATATTCTACTACTAATATTGATGAAGAATAAGATCATATATTTTGTCCTTACTTCAACAATTTCAGATCGATAATCTTTTATTTCGTATATATTTCTAAACTTCAGTATCGGCCACATTCTTTCCACTATTGTAATACATTAGGTAAGCAAACTCTCTACTTTGATCAATATTCATCAATGGCATCCCATTGTATTATACTCATAGAAATGGCCAAATCAAACCGATGTTCCACTTGTCAAAAGCCAGCGGGAATTATTCATTGCGTAGGTTGTGACGGTTACTTCTGCACAAAGGATTTCGAAAGTCATCGTAAAATATTATTTAATGAGATGGAACAACTCATTGAAGAGCGTAATAAACTACAAGAGAAAATCAGCAAGACAGAAAAACCAGACAACTCAAGCAATCCAGTTATTGAAGAAATCAATACATGGGAGAAGATTACAATTGAAAAAGTTCAGCAAACAGCTGAATATGCGCGTCAGCAAGCTAATCAGCTCATGGATTCAAAATCTATGAAAACTACAAATGAATTCAAAGATTTCTCAGATGAATTAGTTGACTTAAAAAGAACTGAGGATTATATTGAACCGGATTTAAGAAGACTTAAACAAAAGATTGATCAATTCAATATAGATTTGACTCAACTCTCGCAAGGAACTAGACTTGAGCTGATTAGAGAAGAAAGTGAAAGAATAGGGTGGAATCGTATTATTCACGTTCGAGAAAAACCTGTCGAAGTTGAACGTCAACAAGCACCAACAATAGTGGCAGGTATGTTTCAGACGTTCAATTTGAATAAATTTTTAGTATGATATTTCCCAAAAAACATTGACTCGAGGTGCAGAGAATGTAAGTCATAGATCGTGCAGTGATAATAAAATTGGCAAGACGCTTTAGTTGATCATCTAAAATATAAATTAGAAAATGATTAAGATTCATATATATTACAGAAGAAATTAAAATTGTTTTCTTTTTTATGGTTTTTGTAAGAAGAATTCAATATTTTAGCTCCCCCTAGGAAAATTTTAAATTTTAATTTCCCCAATAGGAGAATTTTAAATTTTCCTAAATAGCAATAAAACATAGTTGATTCTATTTTCACTTACGAAAATTAAAATAAACAACTGTATGGTTGCATGTTCTGGTGCGGATGTGAGTGAGGATGTAGTTGGGACGTAAATGTAGATAAAAATCGGCGCTGGTATAGGCGAAGAAGAGACACCCACACCCACACCCTCAAGATATTATGCTTGTTAAGTTTTAATAAATAATACACATTTTCGTTTAGGAAGTGCACGAGCAACAGCATTATTTTCTGAAATAGAACTTTTTTGTGGCGGTCGAGCTTGTGGACGTTGTGGTAAATGTTCTGATTGGTCTTTTGACAATAATACGATAGATTATGCTCGTCGTGATGGTCGTACTTGCAATCGTGCTTCTTTTGACGCTGATCTTCATATCTGCAATTGCAAGTACACTGCAAAAGATGAAGACTGAGGATTTTAGTCCAATCATTTGATAGATTCAATATTATGATATCTATTGTGTTTTATTGCAAAAATAAAGGACATATTTTACAGAGCGTGCTTTTAATATCTAGACAAGTCAACATTTGTAAAGAAGAAAGAAAAGAATAGTTTCTCGATAGCGTTTGGTTGTAGTAATTGTGATTACTTGCCAAACAGAAAAGTATATCGTGTGAAAATTAATGTATAATAACTATGTTTGAGCTTAAATTGGTGATTGTAGCTTTGAAAAAGAAACGCAGCTTGTCAATCTGTATTAAAAAAGTCGTGCAGTTTTATACTGCTGCTCGTTGAAACCTGGCGGAGTGTTTGAAATCCAAAATAATAGGAATACCTGGTGAATTTCAAAATAGCTACATAAATAGACAAGGATATGTTATTTATCGATCATATGTTATACTCTTGTTTCCACCACAACGAAGAAATGTAACAATTCTTGAGTTCTCAAACACAATTACCAACAATTCGTTTGTAATTTATGTGTAGCTTAGCACTTCGTATCGGTTTGTTTTTCAGCATTGGCTATTACATAAAACAACTCCTTATCTTATCTTCAAAAGCATTCATTGATCACAATGTTCTGAAACGAAATAATTCATAAAAAGACATCTTTAATAAATTTATCAGAAAATATCTTTATTTGGCATTGCCTTAAGTGAATATGATTTGTACCGTTTGATTCTGAAGATGTAAAGTATGATATTCTATATAAGTTTCGTAAGCTTAATGTTGTTCGATTTTCGTGATAAATTACTATGAATTTAACAAAACTATCTACTAAATACTATAGCTATCATTTAATTGGTCCCCAGTAAATTAAATGAATTTCGTTCTGTGGCTTGGATATCTCTCAAACGGGTGGATGTGAGACTGTATCCTACTCACATCTCCATCGACACTCTCAAAATATAACTGCTCAGCTTTTCTTAAAAACTATATATGAAAGCAAGTTTTCGGTGCGAGTATACGGTTAAAATATTACAAACCACCACCACTAGCAAAGACAGTTCTAATTTCGAAAAAGAGAAAACGCGGTCGACCAGTAAAAGCTAAGCCAGATATATTGATGCAATAATTTAATGTTCGTTCACTTTATCAGCACTAAGTCATAAATTCCTTAGTATTTTTTCTATGGTCCTTTCACTACATTTGTCTTTTTTCTATTAAAATATACTTTCATAATTAATTTATCAATAATTACTAGTAAGAAATAATAATAGAGAATTTCAAATGTAAAACGAATCAAATTCGATTAATCATTTTTTAGTAACAAATGAGATGAATCAACTTTAATCTTTTTCATTGTAAGAAACAAGACCAATAAAAAGAAATATTAAAAACATAAATTGAATATTTATAACAGAATTTCTTTCTATTCTATTGAAGACTATCGATGTGGAAGCAATTGCAATTTCATGTCGATAATACCAGTTGACAGAACTAATTGAAACTACTTCGTCTTCTCCTTCAAGGAAAAAACGAATGGCTTTATATTAAATACGAAATTATAATTACGATCTCTGATTCATTTTGTGCGCACACGCAAAAGTACAATTTGTTATGTACTATTATAATAGTAGAAGAAAAAACAATTAACCATATTTTTTTACATTCGATAATAATCAACGCATGATATTCATACTGTGTACATATAAATGACACATAAAGTAAAGAGAACTATTACCTTTTTTCTCAGGGCTCCCATTGTAAGTGCATAAAATATACATAAGAACTATTAGAAGAAAAAAATTTTCTTTACTTTTCTTTTTTTTTCTTTTCTTCACTCGTATAATGTGTCGTCGATTACTATTAACTGTTATTTTTTCCTTATTTTTTGTGACTATTTTGTCAATTCGATGTTATACAGGCACTGATAGACAATGTATGTTAGCACCACATATGAAAGATTGTGGCTCCGATGAAATATGTCAATGTGCAAAATATCGTTTTCAATGTACAACAGATGATCAAGCTTGTAATGAATATGAACAATTAGTAAAAACTAAAAAATGGGGATATACAATTTTACGTAAAAGTACATGTGAAATGTTACAACAACAATCATCAAGTGGTTATGATAATGTAACATGTTGTTCAAACGATGGATGTAATCGACCTGATCATGGTAAATGTGCATGGTCTCAATCTCGTCGTCATGCTTCACGTAAACTTACTGATTTACTTGATTTTGGATAATCAATATGATTAATAAAATATAATGTAATGATACTGTCTTTTTATTTATTTATTTAATTAAATGTTATATTATTTACGAAGAACAGATACTTTTTATTAATAAAAATATTTTTAATAAACATAATGTTGCAACTATCAAGCAAATATTATAAACAGTTTCTGATTTAAATATTTTGAAACGTAGCAAAGAAACAGATAAATTTTAAAGTAACACGTTATTTTTTTTTATCTGAATGATATGTTAGTAGACAACACAATGTGTTGCTGTGATAATGGCTTATTCGACATCTTTGTCTTATCTCAAGGTGTGTAAGTAAATTTAATATTTTTTTATTAGATATCAACAGTTGCGTTAACTATGCGTTTATTTTTTATACTACTACTTTTAAGTTTAATATTGTGGATAGATGGTCAATCAGGAAATTTTCCTGATTGTAAATCAGGTCCATTATCATTTTTTCCTATTTGTAATCAATCATTACCATCTCGAGAACGAGCAGCAGATTTAATAAGTCGTATGACAACAATAGAAAAAATTTCTCAAACAATTACAACAGCTGATAGTATTCCTCGTCTTGGTCTACCCAAATATGAATGGTGGTCAGAAGCATTACATGGTCTTGCTTTCTCTCCAGGTGTATTTTTTGGTGGTGATCTACCTGCAGCTAGTTCATTTCCAATGCCAATTAATCTTGGTGCAACATTTAATATGAATCTTGTATATCGTATAGCAAGTATAATTTCAACCGAAGCACGTGCTTTTAATAATGATGGTCGAGCTGGTCTTACATTTTTTACACCAAATATTAATATTTTTCGAGATCCACGATGGGGACGAGGACAAGAAACACCTGGTGAAGATCCATTTCTAACATCTCAATATGTCTATGCACTTATACAAGGTTTACAACGTGGTGATGATGAGCGATATTTAAAAATAGCTGCTAATTGTAAACATTTTGATGCATATGATTTAGAAAATTGGAATGGAACAGATCGACATCATTTTAATGCTAAAGTAACTGATCAAGATTTAGTTGAAACATATTTACCATCATTTAAAAGTTGTATTAAAGATGCACAAGTAGCTAGTATTATGTGTAGTTATAATTCAATAAATGGAATACCAGCTTGTGCTCATAAATTTTTATTAGAAACAATTGCAAGGTATGAAATATATTAGAATAATTAAGAATTAACGAAAAAAAAAAAATATTTTTAGAGAATCGTTTCATCTAAATGGTTTTGTTGTTAGTGATTGTAATGCTATTTCGGATATTTTACATGCACATCGTTATACATCATCAGTTGAAGATACAGTTGCTGTAGCTTTACATGCTGGCACTGATCTTGAATGTGGAGTTTTCTATTTATTTCATATGAGTACAGCATTGAATAGAAAAAAAATTGTTGAAGCTGATATTGATCAAGCATTAATGCGTACATTTGATGTTCTTATTCGTCTTGGTTGGTTTGATCCACCAGAACAACAAATTTATCGAAAATTAAATAAGAACAATGTTGATACATTAGAAGCAAGACAATTATCACTTATAAGTGCACAAGAAAGTATTGTTTTATTGAAGAATATTAATAAAATATTACCATTAAATCTAAATCAATTAATGAATAAAAAAATTGCATTAATTGGACCAACAGCTGATGCAACAGTAACAATGCAAGGCATTTATCATGGACGAGCACCATTTCTTATTGATCCTATTACAGGATTTAAAAATGTAACTGCAGGTTTGAAGAAAAGAAAGAAAACACTTGAATTTATTTATTTGAAATTTCTTATAATTATTAGGAAATTTTATTGATATTCAACATGCTCGTGGATGTGGAATATCAAGTCATAATGAGAAAGATTTTGCTGCTGCAATTAAATTAGCTCAATCATCTGATATTGTATTTTTCTTTGGTGGAATTGATAATACAATTGAACGAGAAGGAACTGATCGTACAATAATTACTCTACCTGAAGTACAACTTGCGTTAATACAACAATTAGAAAAAGTTAGTCGTTCACCACTTCATGTTGTAATTATGTCAGGTGGTGGAATTGATCTATCATATATTCGAAATTCAACACAATGTGGAAGTCTTATTTGGATGGGTTATCCTGGACAATCAGGTGGATTAGCAGTTGCATCAGTTGTATTTGGTCAATATAATCCAGCTGGTCGTTTACCTGTAACACTTTATCCAGGATCATATGTTAATGCTGTAAGTATGTTTGATATGCAAATGCGACCATCATCAACTAATCCTGGTCGAACATATAAATTTTATACGGGTCAAGCAGTCTATGAATTTGGATATGGTTTATCTTATACTACATTTAATTATACATATAATAATAATACATTCAAATCTTTTGTTTCAATGAAATCATTATTGAAAAATATTAATAAAGAAGATCGTACAATTATTTCTTCAATACGTATTAATGTAACAAATACAGGCGATATGGATGGTGATGATGTTGTTTTAGCTTATGTTACACCACCGACTATAAACAATGATTCAGTTGTACCGTTTAAACAATTATTTGGTTTTGAACGTATTCATTTAAAACAAAATGAAACAAAAGAAGTCTTTTTTCCTTTTACTATAGCAGCCGCTTTAACTATTGCAGAAAATGCATCTAAATGGATTCATCCTGGTTTGTATCATATTATCATTGGACAACAACGAATGCTTTCAATTACATTAGAAGGAGAATCAATTCAATGGGCTTAATATTATTTTAAAAGAAAATTTTTTATATATACTATTCATTAGAGTTTAATAAATGAAAGAAAAAAAATATTAATATGAATATATAACCATACAAATGTCTTAAAATTTTCTAATTAGATAAATTTTCCTTGTACAATTCTATATGAAATACTATGATATAATTGTTAATAGGTTATATATAGTCAGACAATATCGTAACATCAGATAATAATCATAAAAATGAAATAATTGTTTTTTTTAGTATAATATATCATACAAGTTACCTGAACCTTTTTTTCATTTATATATACATTAACTAAATTAAGTATTTATTTAGATTTTCATTGTCTCATTGAACACCATCTGGATGATATTCCCACCAAAAAATAAACTCATAATTTGTTTAATGTATGGAGAATATGCATATTCACTTCTCATAACTATTATCGTAAACATTTCATTTATTATCATGAAAAGAAGAAGCAATCTATTGATACACATCGAATTTAATAAAAATAATCTATTTAATTATCCAATGATTCATTGTTTCTTTATTGAAATATAAATCAAATAATTCATAATGTTAAATGAAATTTATTTGAAGTAAAATAAGGATACGTTATACAACAAAAAGTTTCATGTCTTTATTTTTGTAATAATTAATTAGCGTGATGAAAATAGGCAATTTTGGATTTTTTATCCAGCATGAATGCACGTTTCTGGCGTTTTCCTTGTTTTTGATCAGTTTTGACTTGATTTTCTTGAGTAGAATGTGCTGTTGAAGGAGAAGTTCTTTGATGATGCCCCTCATGAGGTTGTTGACTTGTATCCTTGCCATGTTCATGTTCATTTTGAACCCAACGATTTGCTCGCGATGCATTATCATTAACTAAATGATTTGGTCTTGATGAGTGCTGCCAAGCTGGTGGTTGACTTGCTCTTGATCGGCGGAATCTAGCTTGTGGTATACTTGTTCTTAATTGCATATTCTTAACTGATGGTAGCCTGTTTTGTAATGACCGTGGTGGTGCCGTTGAAAGTACTACAGTAGTGAGAACCAACTAGAATAGAATATTAGATAAAACTAAACTCAAAAGAAAAGTATTTACCAGCGATAATATAACAATCGATTGCATGTTTATAAGTGTCAGAATTCTTTTTTTTTGGTCGATAATAATGTTTTCTTCTTTATAAAAATACTACCCTTTTATACTTCTCGAGTTCATATAAACAACAGCCATTATTCGCGACTCCGTCAGCCATATGTTTATTTATCAATGCACTTTTTCTGTGTTTGACCTATTGAATAAAAAGGTATTTTTTTCATAGATTTTATTCTAGCTACTATTTAAAAAGTACGTAGTTAGTATTATTAAGTTATTTTTAGGGTTGCTAACATATGGTTAATTCATAGAACTAAGTTTCTCAATAGATCAGGAAAAATACATTCATGACAAAATTATATGATATCAACTTTTATTTTTATTCTTGATTTTTTTCGATTAAACTATACATACAAATAAAACATACAGAAAAAATGAAACCATGTTTTCATTGATAATGGCGTTTTTTTTATAAACTTAATGGATCTTTAAACTATACCGAATTAATGATATAGATTCTAAATAATACTCAAAGTATATTCACATACTTTAAAACGAAACTGATTCAAACGTACCAATAAGGATTTAGTCTTGTTGTCTGTACTATTTAAGTTTATGCATTCTTGTCTTTCACAGTTGCATGACATAGAGGTGTGTAGATTCTTATTCTATTCAATTATGGCAATAACTATATCACAGATTCCTTTGTATTAAATTAAATTTATCGTTTAACACTATTTCCTTTCTACGATGAAGACATTGAATAATGAATTATCATAAATAGAAATCAATCAAAAGTATTGCAATATAATAATTATTAATCATACTAACAGAAGATTCACACCTGTTTTTCTAATACAATTTTATATTTTAAGTGAGAGTAAAATGGACAAGGACAAAAAAAAGACTTTTTACGCATTTTAATCTCACCTACGCTTATCAATTATCTTTTAACTGTATGAACTATAGACAGATTGAATGCAAATCTAATGTGTTTGAGTGAAATTTAAATGAGTAGAATAATATGAAATTGATTTCTAAATATTTCGCCTGTTGAAGAATAATACAATAGGTATTTTATTGCCGTTTCAACAAGTACAACCTTGAACGATGCATGAAGTTCCTATTTGAGAAGGTTGATCTTTATATATAAATTGATGAATATCTCAATTATGATTATATACAAGACTAAACTACGTAGGATCAAAGAAGAAAACGGAATACGCTAGAAAAAACTCAAATTTTGCGTAACGATTAGATGTTATAACAGTCAATTAGTAGAATATCTCTACATTTATAAGCAATTGTTCATTTTCAAAGTATTACATTAACTGTAATATTATAATACATATATCAACGTGATATTTCTAGTTAAATGAACAAGAATCTCTTATCTTTAATATTGTTCATTGATATAAATTAATATATTCATCATTTCTTGAGTAAACTTAGTTTTATGCGTAGGATACAATCAACATATATATTCATTCACAGTACCCAAACTATTGACTTCATCTACATATATATACAGTGTCGAAGAAAAAAAGTGCTTCATTACTTTCCAATCTTATCTCTACTAAATAACATAAATATTTACAACTGACTATGAATTATTTGTATCGACTTCTGTTTATTCTATTAACTTTTATTCTTTATTTCGAATCAACTATGGTATATATAAATATATTTATTCATTGATAACTCAATTTTTTTTTCTTTAATATATATAGGCTTACCCAACATCATATGCACCAATACATCGTGGTTTTCTACTATGTCATATGTCACCAGTTTCATGTAAACGTAGTATATCCGATATGGAAGAAATCAAAGAACGATCGATAGCAACTATTGGTGATTATCTTCAAGCATGTGTTTCTTCTGGGAATTCTATGCGATATTGTCTTGATCAACCATTGTATCGTGGAGATGAACGAATTAAATAAAGTTGTCATTTATTGATATCTTTATTTTGTAAACATAAGACATAGTTAAAAATAAATATATACTTTATGTCTAAACTAATTTGAATGTAAAAAATAAATATATATATGAAAGAAGATCGTTTTTTTAACAAAAATCGTACAAGACATTACACCTGCTATATCTATGCATTTGTGACTGAAGATTTATTAGTAGATTTAATTCATACTTTCTCCATATAAAAGCAGTGGAAAAAAGATAATTTCTTCGCATATGTCTACGGACATAAGAAGAAGTCAAAGACTGAAAATAATTTTGACAAGCAAGTAAATAATAGATATATGTTTTTAGTCACTCATTTTATTTCTGCCTGTTTTAACATGTATATATTTAATAATATTAAAATGTGTTTATTTTTCGTTCTATCATTTCTCTTTGATATGTATGACTTTAGATGAAGTGAAGCATCTTTTTATAAACGGAAATAATTTTCCTGTCAGTCAATTCTATTGTTCAAAACTAACATTCCGAGTTCTTTCTACTCTTGCACATGTTTTAAGTACCTACAGTATCAACTATCATAATAAAAAGACTATCTAAAAAGAAGCAAAACCATTATCCGTTCTTAATAGACTAAAAATTCTTTCCTGTCACGTAAAAACCAACTTGCGCACACTATTACATTTATATAAAGATAATCCGTGCTTTTTACTCAGTACTATAGAAATCTAAAAGAGAACTTGTCTTAAACATACCTACTAATTAATTCCAGGTTTCGATAAAAATAGATTCTAATAATTAAATTTTATATTTAACTATAATTAGTCCTAAAAATATTAAATATATCAATCTTGTAATCTCATAAATAGATAAAAGAACTTTTTTTTCTTTATTATATTTGTAGTAAACATGCAAAATATATGTAGATGTTTTCATTCATTCGATAAGAAAAATCATTAATTAATTGAATTAATTTTTGTTTTATATAAATAAACAAAATACTATAATCTATCCGAACGATACATTATATTTTAATTGTATTGTCTCATTCAAACAAGAATGAATAAGTCAGGAACTATTTCTTTTTCTCTTCTTCCCCATGTTCCCATAGTGATCAGGCTTACCAGTATTGAGAAAACCCTTTTCTTTCTTGTTTTTCTTCTTTTTTTCCCTCATACTGCTCTTCGATGTCAATAAAAAGTAGGCCCGCACAACGCATGCATACACAATTATTTTCCAAGCATTAGAATGTAAGCATTAGATTCATAATGAATAGTACAGCATTAGAAATTTGTCCTAGTATTTTACATTATCATAACGCAGTACATATATCTTATATTGTTTGGCGTTCATGTGGTCTTCTATGTATTATATTTGGTATCCCTGGTCATTTATTTTCAATTATAATTTTGTCAAATAAAAAGAATCGAAAAGAACCAACATCATTATATTTTCTAGCTATTGCTTGTTGTGAATTAATTTTTCTACTTGGTTTGTATATTTTCTAATTGATTCTCTGAAGAAGAAAAAAAACATTAGTAATTTAAGTTGAGCATATATTAATTCCGATGAAATATTGTTTTTTGTTAATCGGAAATGGAAATGTCAGACAAAAGGTTAGCATTATTGAATAGTTCGCATGATACAATATAAAAATTAAATCAATAGAACTAATTATATAGATATAAAATAATAATTTATACTAAAATATTTACTCTTGAGATAAAACAGATGTCAATTCACTAATTGTTAGTTAGAAAAAATATTTAACAGTATCTTTTTTCTTAAAAAGTCTCGTATTATTAATAGAATGAGTATAGAAGTATAACTTGCCAAACTGCCTGTAAAATTAATTTAGTAAAGAACAATCTTATACGACTCATTTATTCAGCTGTTACTAAATTCTGTATCTCCGTGGGGGGGTGTCAATAGTTTTCTAGATATTTACAGTGATAAAAGAAAAACAACTTATCATGAACGAAGTAGAATAGAATACATATAGCAATTAGACATGAACAAAATCGAGTTTATTTTTGAAGTTGAAATTGTCACATGTAGGTTAAAATCTTTGATTTCTCTGGATTTGCTTCAGGTGTTTGTGAGTATTATTTTTAAAGAGTAGTTATAAATTAATAGATATTTATCATTGCATTAAAATGTATCTTTTTTTGTTCGGAGAAAAAACCATATGAGCATGTTGCCGATTCCGATCCTTTTGTAATTTAAAATCAGAATCGACAGCCTTGTAATTATTTGACATCGAAAACAAAATCATTGATTCTCGATCCCACTGCGGAATGAAAGCATTAATTCATATTAAAAAATTTCTCGTTCTAAACTATGAAATGTAGTATAAAAATAAATCTTATCCATTATAATTAATTTTACTAGCTTTTAATAAATAAGATTTATATAGGTATCTCTTGGTTATGGTTTGTTGGCATGTCTATAATTAAGACTGATCCTCGGCAAATATTATCTTGCGGCTTATTCTATAGTATTCTAATAGGTTCAACAATATTATCTAATTTATATTTAGCATCAATGTCTATTGATCGAAATTTTATTATACTTTATCCTACTCGTTATCGTTTAATAATAACTCGACAACATGTTTTAAAACGTATAGTTTTAATTTTTCTAATAACAATTCTTTTTATGATTCCACATCATTTTTATTATTACTATAATAAAAATACAACGTTATTTATTTGTGAATTTCATAAATTTATTGATCGATGGAAAATTCATATTTGGCCTTTTATTCATGCTATATTGTTCGTATCAATACCATCAATAATAACATGTATATCATCAATAATGTTATTGCATAATCGTCGTAAACATCGACGACTAACTAAAAATATATTAGGTGAAAAGGCACGTCGTATAGAAAGAAATTCTATTTTAATTGTATTTATTTCATTAGCTTTAGCATTTACGACATTACCAATTGTTATATTAGAAATTTTTATTGTACATGATCGATTATTTAATCATGAACTTTATTGTTTAACAAGATGGAAAACATATAAAATTTTACTGAATTGGTTTTTAACACTTGCATCTTTTAGTTATTCATGTAAATTTTATATTCGTCTTATTATATCAAGAACATTTCGAAAAGAATTTCTACAATTATTAAATTGTATTCTTCGACGAAAAGATAAAATTAATGAACAAAGTTTAATGGCATTGAATAAACAAAATAAAATACGAACTACGGGTATTTAATTGAGAAAATTATTTATTTTTTAATACATTAAAAATTGTTTTAATTTGAAAAACAAGTGTATAAAATTTCAAATCATGGTCAAATCGAATTAAAATAATAACTTTCTCTCTCGTGGGGAAGAGTCTTGTAAGAATAAATTGTTTGTTTGCGTGTGTTTTCGCACTTCACTGACTGGTCCAAGAACCGGGTAAAGATATAAAAGGAATTTCTTTTATAAGAGTTGATTAAAAGATAATCGGAGTCGAAGAATTCAAATCTGATTTCTGTTTTGTTTAGTGACGCAATTTCCACGAAAAAGAGCTAAACGAGTCTGTAGACGAGCGTTACTTGTATTTTCTCGATGAACTATGATAGAATTTTAAAAAAATGATATAATGCTTAATATCGCATGTTTTTCGCTCGGGTAGTTTATATAATAAGGATGTATTTACATAGTTTCTACTGTTCTCTAGATGATGATATTGTAATAAAATAAGATGTATAATGAAAAGCAAAGCAAGAAGAAATATCTAATAATAACATAAAGTAATCTTTCTTGAAAGTATGTGTATTAGATTAGATCTGTTTTTGAATATACACAATGAAAAGCTTATGTTTGGATAATATTATGATAAATACGAAGCGCGATGATTACCAAACTTCGAATATATATAGTTTTAATACTGATCTGAAAGTTCTTTTACACTTCATTATAATATTTCTTTTTTTTTCGTTTGAGATGTTACTATAAGCAGATTAATATTTAACAACAAATCTAAATAGAATCATACAAGAGATATGTAAAAAAAAACATTTCTCGCATGAGTAATTAATCAGTAACTAGAACCTTCATTTTTACTTTAATCATGTGCACAGTGTGTTGTATATCCGTGAAAATCGCATTAGGATTTAGAATCCAAATGTTTCCTTTCACACATTCAATTTATTTATTCACATACAAAAACAAATGAACTGTATATTAATAAAGAAAATTCGGTGCAAAATAAGATGGCAAAGTTGAAGGTTTAAGTTGAAATTGTTGTTTATTTTCTTCATTACTGTCATTATGATCATCTTCAATTGAATCAATTTGTCGTGATAATATATCATCATTATCAGATTGTGTAGCATCTGGTGAACTAACTGTATTTGATAATGTTCTTTGATTTGTTGTTATTGGATCATCTTCTAGAAATCGAGTACATTTTTTCTTTCGTCGACAGTGTTTACACCATTGATTAACACCTTCTAAACCAAATCTTGCACGACATTTCTTTGGATCTAAATAATAAGAATAATAAAATCGAATTTAACTAGTATATTTTTCAACATACCATTCTCATATTGTACTGAATTCTTATTTTTTTGTGGAAGTTTTTTTTCTATAACAACAGATTGTCGTTTCTTTTTCAATCCATAATTATCACGTGCTGACCAATTTGGATACATTTGTAAATGACGATTTCGTTCTTCTTTTGCTAATACTAAAAAAAATAAATTCATAAAATAGATAAACTATTTTATTTTTTGTTATTACCATAATATTTATCTTGTTCAGATCGTGGTAATTCTTTCCATTTTTGACCAAGATATTTATTTATTGCTGATGATTCTTTTAACGCTGATTCTTCTACAATATGTACACGTTGCTCTTTCATATAGATCATAAATGCATTTAATGGTTTTTTTATATGAGGTTTCTTCGAACGAATTTTTTCATGAGAAATATTTACACTAAAGGAAAAACCATGAATAAGAAATGAGATGATGATGAATTTTTCTTACTTTCGTGATGGTACTGATGATTGATTTGATGAAACTGGAATACCACCAAATGGATTGAAGAAATTTGGTGCAAATGATGGATTCATCATTTCAGGAGCAAATGGCATGCCTAAAAAGATAAATTAAATCATTCTTTTAACAGCTTAAAAGTGCAACTGTAGTATTTATTTTTCATAACTCAAAGAGTGTAGAATATATATCACTAAAAATTTGAAGTCTCAGTTTCATTCCAGGCATGTCTGAATTAATTAAATTAAAAGGTAGGAATTCTCTTCATATTACGGTATACTTGTCAGGAATCTAAATTTAGTTTTGACAACGTCGTAAAAGTAAAATAATCTGCCTATTAGATAAGGTATTAACACAACATCATACATCACAATGATGAATTTAAATTCTTAAACAGTCGTTTTTATGATACAAAATTCATTACGAATGAATATTTTCAATTTGCTATATTTATTCTTGTTCACTACGGATTGTCATTTAGTCTGTAATTGTCTCACTTAGATTATTGAGAATATATTAATATAACAAAATAGACTTTACCTGGAAATGGAAATGAAGACATAGGTACACTACCAAATAGATTATTTGTATGTCCATCTGCTGATGTATTAACCTGAATGAGAAGAAACAGATACACATGAGAATGAAAAAAGATAGATTTAATTTACTGTTAATAAATTGGAAGCATTTGCTTGTGCAGCAGCAGTCATAAAATATGGATAGAGAAATGGAAATGTATACAATCCAGAAACATTATTATTAACTGTATTAATTCTATTCGGACTAGTCTAAAATATGAAAAGAAGAAATTTTATTATATATGAAAATCTAATGATAACTTACAGGTTCTTCAACAACTGGTGAAAGTCGATCTTCTATATCAGCATCTGGTTCATTTTTTAAAATACTTGAAGCTGAAAAGATTTTAATTTCATCATTTTCAGCTTCAGTTTTTATTTTATTGTCATTTGTTGGTAAAGATTTCTTTTTACTTGACGATTGATTTGTTGATGATACCATTTAGTTTGTCTCTTTAATCATGAACAAAAATGGGTGGAGTAATATTTGCAAACCGTCTATATTAGAGAATATGCGGCAGAATGATTGAACTGACCTTCAAATAGAATAAGAAGAGAAAAAGAGACGAAAATTTCATCGTCCGTTCAGAGAAAAAAAAGACAATGACGCGGCTCATTTTGCTTATACTCACTGGTCAAGGCAGACGGATGAAAGAAAAGAAAAGAAAAAACATGAACGTTTAACCATCTGTCAAAAAAATAAAACATATTGACGGCATGACGATCATATTGATGGAAAGAGAAAAGAAAGAAAACATAAATGATATACATGATGAAGATCAATATAAGCAAAAATGAACAAATTAAATTATACGATTTCGACCGCAACTAAAAGATATTCATATGTTGACTAGATTATCGTTTGAAATGTTGTTTAGTTTCTTTAGCAAATTTTAAAAGAATCTCTTGAATGCAAGTAGTACATAGATATTCTATATTTAGAGTTTAATATGATTATTATCTTATACAACGATTTCAATGTTTATTAAAGTTCTTCAGCAAAAAAGTAAAACATTCGTTTGATTATGAAAATATAACACATGCTTCTTGCGTTCTGCATGGTATGTTTTTCTTCCCTGTTTCGAATTAGGTTATTTATATTTTTGAGTAAACTGATTGATATTGTATGATTCAGTCATTTATATAAAACAGAAGTTCTCCATTAACTTATAATGCGACCAATAATAGATTTCGGAATAATATTTATATTTTATCGATTTGAATCCTAGTAAAAATCTTCCGAAATTTATATAATTTTTAAAATTAACTCTTATATGTGTAAAAATTCAAAAGAAAATCTACATGTTATTTATATATGTATGATTAATGTCTACAGAATTCATATTGAGCTTGTAAGACTTAAAAGTTTAACGAGTATATGCATATGTTTATAATTGCGCAGAAGTTTTTATATAATACCATTTCTCACATTTGTCATATGATCAATATTTTTATTTATATTCCTATAGAGAAATACTTATAGGTCAATAGGTAGAGTATAAATATATACGTAATAAATATTTGAATGTTAAATTTCAATAGTTACTGAGAGAGAACTATATGGTTTTATTAATCATGTATTATATAAAATAAAATCATCGCAATATTATATTATTTGGATCAGATATATTATTGTTCTTTTCAACCAATAAAATAGGAAATTATATATTATAGGACTCAGAATAGTGATTAGACCACTAAAAAACATCATGCGCAATATGACGAAGCTAATTTTTGATGTTTATAGATAGTTTATATGTTTTTTGACGCAGCATTTTTTTTTTATATCATGGATTGTCGATGAGTAAAAATATAATTTAACCAAAAACAAAAATATTGCGCATACAATCGTTTTTTACTCGTAATATAAAAAAAGCAATCATGCATGACGACAATTGTGTATATATAAACCACCGTTTTATTTTCGTTGTTATTCATTAATATTTTTTCTACATACAAATACTTATTTTTATTATCAAAAACTCAATATGGACGCAATCAAATCTGGAATAGATAAGGTATTTGATGCAAATATATATTATTAGTATATATATATAAATAAATTCTATTGATAGGCAAAGGAAGCTATACATGGCAAAGAAGCCGAAAAAAAAATCGACGATGCAACAGATCCATCAAAAAAACCATCTGAACGTATCGATGCTGCACATTCTGCAGCCAAACACGATGCCAAAGCAGATGAACATGGAGTCAAAGCTGAAATCAACGCCGACAAACACGCATGTTCAGGAGGATCATGTAAAAGAAGTTAAATTTTATTTTTCTCAGTGATAACTTGTAATTATTTATTCAAGCTGTTTATAAATCTATAGTTTTTTTAAAACTATATTTTAAGCTAAATAAAAATTAAAAAAAAAACAAATGTATATTCGTATATGCTTCAAGGATATTTTTTCTCTCATAACATTTTCCAGGTGAATACGATATTAATATTAAATAGTCATATGTCAAAAAGTACACACCTTTTTATTGAGGCACAAGCCTCTTTTTCCTTCTCATATATATATATATATATAAAAGAAAATGATAAATACATTGAATAAAAACGTGTCAAAAACATGTGCGCAGCAAATAATGTTGTATTTAATGATCTTGTTTTTTTACGTCTCTAAATCTAAAAAAAGAATATATGGCACAAGAGAAGAAAAAAAAGAGAAGAAATAGTAAGGAATTTATTTATTCATCTATCTTCAATCTCTCATTATAACACGTCTACTATTCTTACTATGTAAGTTTTATAAGAAAAAAAAGTTTCTATTTTATGTAATAAATTATAACGTTTTAAGTAGAAAATAAAATGGATGCTGTAAAAGCTGGTGTCGAAAAAGTTAAAGAAACTGTTCAAGGCAAAAAGGCTGAAGACAAAGCAGAAAAAGCTCATGATCCAAATGAAAAACCAAGTGATCGTGTAGATGCTGCATTTGATGCTGGTAAAGCTAAAATGAAAGAACAAGAACATGCTTGTAAAGCTGAATGTCATAAAGACAAACATGTTTGCCATTAAACAAGATCAATATATATAAACAATTTTCATTTATTCCAGCAGATTCACACATAAGTCATCGCGGACAAATTTTATTCTATAATTTTCCTTTTGTCAAACTCTTTCGTGCATTATTAGTTTAATAAAATAAAAGATTCTTTATAGAAATTAATAAGGAAAATATTAGAGGGAAAGCAATTACTTATAATTTATATAAAATCTTCATATCTTTATTAAGAAATGCTTGCATGATAAGGAAGATTACTTTTGTGCATCTGTACTTGTTTTTTATAATATTAAAGTTTATTTTAACTCATATGAATATGTCATTTAAAATTAAAAAAAATGTTCTATTATATTTACATCGATATTTATTTAAAGCTAGTTTAAATCGGAGAAAAAAATTAAACGTGAGTTTTTGAAGGTCAACAGTTGTAAAATTATAAATTCAGTATTAATCACCTCATTTAGAAGATAAAGCACGTTTACATACTGTGTTTCATTTTTAAAGATAAAGCGAAATGTTTCTAATATAAAGAGTAAGTATTCATTTGTCTTTATTAGAATTTTTTCTTATATAAAACAGTACTAAAGATAAGTCAACGGAATAATTTATTTTTCATCGATGTTTTAACTTCTGCTTGTGCTTATAAAGTTTTCTATTTGAATATATCATCCATTCATCATCATGAGCTATTTTATGCGTATTGATCAGGTCAAGTACTAATAGTATCACTAGAAATATTCATATATCTATTTCATTACGTCAAGCAAATTATCATCGCATCAAAGAACAAAATAAAAATACACGTGTGTTGAGTACGAGCAATGCTCTATAGACAAGTCGACGCAAGTGAACCATGACCAATAAGAGTGATAACAATATGAATAAAGACAATATTTGATATTAGATAAAGTTTGTATGTATAGAATTCATGACGACCATCAGTAAGTAAACAATTTAAAATTCGTCTATTTTGTATAGAATTTTTTTATAAATTCTATGAAAGTCTTGCGAGATCTTTGTATACGAATATTTCAATTTCTTAAATTCAATCATGAATTGTATTCCCATTCTCGTTTACATTCTTTATTGTATGACGATACAATCTTTCCAGATGATTAATAAAAACGAAGACCTAGAGAATAGTTTGATAACTCATTTTGCGTCGTATCATTCTTAATATCACATATGTACTCGTACAAAAAAAATTGTACATTGTATTTTGGACATACTCTCTTTATGAAACGATATATACTCAAAGCATATGGAATTTTAGGTCCATCGACAGTATGTAAAAATGATCATTTGGAGACTTTATCATATTTATTTTATAAATGGAATGTCCTAAGGAAGCAAAAATATTTTCTTGACTTTCTTCGTATCAGTCGACAGTCCGAAATCTCTACTTTATTTTATGAATGTTTAAAGGTTTTCAAGAAACCGGTTGAGTTCCTAGGCAAAAAAATTATTTGAATATCGACGAGTTTTTCTCAATAGTTTCTCTAGCTTTCGTCAAAATCGGTTCTATAATACCTTATTTATTCTATGAACTTCAGATTAAGGTTTCTTTTTGAATGACTATGAAATGATAATATATAAATCTACTTTATATCGTATGCATTACTATCGTATCAATCATCTGTCGATTTGTGTGTGAAAAAAGATATCTGCTCTTTATTCTTTATTATAGAAATAAATAAAATAAAGTAACATTCTAGATTCTATGCACCATGTTGAAAATCGATTTTGGAGGAGAGCTATGTCTTAATAAGAAAAAGAAAAGAAATAAAAGAATGTATGGTGTCTATTTGGAATAGAACGCAGATAAAAAAATGTATGAATCATACTCATTCGTTATAAGAAAATCGCGATTGCTAATACTTTACAAAACTTATAGAAGGAAACTTTTATTTCGGTATTTCCCAGCAGTGTTCAAATTTCATAAAAAGGAAATTTCCGATATTGCTGGGAGTGACTCATACAATGTGCATATAACTTTCGAAACTTCTCCTTTACTATATGGGAATTTCGGAAATTTCCTGTTTATGAAATTTGAACACTGCTGGGAGTTTTCCAATTTTTTCCTAAATCAATAAATTTATTCAAATCAATAATATCGTTTATTTCTTGTTATTTATCTGAACAAATCATTTAGATTTAATTCATCATTCAATATAACTGAGAATTAATGATCGTAATATCATTATATTGCTTTTTATTATTATTACTACATCGAATATTGATCATAGAATCGATAGTACTCCAGTATGAAACAAAATGTAAATCATCTCAATTTATTGATTTAGAAAATTTAATTGGTTCATTACATACATATGCTCCTAACTCTACTAAACTCATAGTACGTGATATGGGTTTAACAAATGGACAACAAAACCTATTAAAAAGATATGAAAATATTCAAATTGTATCTTCAAATTATGCTCAATCAAGCAACATTCAACAAATCGATGTTGATCATGAATTTATTCTAATTAATAATACTCTTTATAGTCGAAATAATCAAGGAAAATATCCATTTATTGATTTGATACGAAAACAATTTTCTTTTGCTCTTGTTATACCATTTATTGAATCACAATTAAATAATTTAATACATCTATTAAATTTAACCGAAATTTATTTACCATGTCAAAAATATTTCCATTCAACTGATTTAATATTTTATCATAATGAAGAATCATCGTCCGCTTTAGAAAAATATATTACTAAATTAAATTATCAAAATAAATGTTTTAAAAATATTTATTATTTTGCAGCTAATCTATCAGCAGATGAAGATATGTATCCTGTTGGTAGTGCTTATATGTGGAAAAAATTATTTAGTAATGAATCAACAAATACGATTTCATTACGTGCACGTGGTTATACACATTTTTTTCTTATGGAACCAGATACACGACCTATACGTTCGTATTGGTTAGATGCAATTATTGAAAAAATTACAAATCCATATGATCAACAATCGTATATTTCAACGAATTGGTGGATGATAGGATCGATTTATCGTGGTACAATACCATTAGGAAGAGAATTTCTTCATATAAATGGAAATGCATTATATCATCTTTCATTGGATTTTATTCGTTTTATTGAAAATGTTTCGAATGAAATTCCAAATGTTTTAGGAAAAACTAACGGCTATGATTTAGATTTATTTTTATATATGTTTAAGCATGTTGATATAGCAAAAAATGTTTGGCATAAATTTCAGTTTACAGATCTTATACAAAATTGTTGGCATTCGGGTTGTAATGATACAGATACAGATTTTATACATATGAATCCAAATACATATCTTGTTCATGGAAATAAAATTCTTCCAAAGGCAGTATCTTCATTAAAGAAATTTTTTTATTTTATTTTATTAGGATTATGCGCGATGTTTTGTCTACGATTCCGACATTATTGTCGACGAGTTTTTATAAATGCAATATTGTTAAAGATTTTTTAGTTTTATGTAAAAGAAAACATACATCGAAATAATAAATTTAAAGAAAAAATAATTTACTTCAACAAAAGAATTAGTATAGAATACATGTAAAAAATTAACCCAATATTATTAGAATAAGCAAACTATAGCTTACAACACCTTAATATAATTACTAGGAACTATTTTTACAAATGTGTAGTTACAAAGTGACACTGGTGAAAATCAGATATCCCACCAATTGTATTGATAAAAAGTCAATGTTGTAAGTTTTTTTCTAAGTTGGAAAAAACTCAATCACCAGTGAATGACGTGTTAAAAGTATTTTTAGTTAACAGAAAAACGGCGTATCACGATACAAAACAGTTTCTTATCATGTAATTTCAAGTGATGATAAAATTTACTACTACAAAGTCTATTCATGGAAGTGTACGGTTTTTTTCGTTGATAATCGGATAGATTATATTATTTTATGATTATCAAGATAATGTGTTTTTTTCTATTGAAAATAAATGAAAACAACTAGTACTTGTATTTTTTCATCGAGATAAACAAAATACTATTGTATTACATCTGTAGGGATATACAACTTCAATGACTTTTGATAAATTTTGAGTAAAAACAACAGTATTTTCTCTATATTTTATGTTGTATCAACTGCAGGATGAATGATCGTTAAAAATATGCTTTGTTATTCAGAATAGAAATATTCGATTTGTATAATTGATGTTCAGTGATTCTTTTTTGATAACTGCTGGATGAGAATTCAGATTTGTTCATTATAGTTTTACTTTTATTAATATCACTCTTGTTTGTATTGATGATGGCCAAATATAAATGAACTTCAAATCGGTTAAACTCTAAATATGGAGTCGTTCGAAAAAGTTAACAAATTGATACAGAATAAATCTATTGTTGAACAGGAAATACCATTCACAAAACAAAACCAAAGTAACTCACTACTAGGAATTATTATTTCCAAAAGAGAAGAATTGTGGTCTTTTTACAGAACTTTTGCCCTATTTTGAGAATAGCTTTTTTGGTTTGAGAATTGATTTATTTTGTGTTATTATGTAAAATATGTAAGCGTAAGTTAGCTCTCAACCTGAAGTTTATATGTGAAACTTATTTTGTTTTTAATTATTGTTGATTCATTTAGTAATGTATTGTTTTAAGTTTGTTCAATGTAATTCAATCACTCGCAATGACTACTCGAAAAGAGTTCTTGTGATAATTGTGTGCAGTCGAATCAATTAAAAATACGCCACTATAAAAAAAGGACTTTCGTCGAACAAGTAAGAATACTCAACTGTACGTTATCATACTTCCGTCGACTTAAAATACCTTTGAGTCAATGATTATCTTGAGTCATAGAAATATTTGCAAGAGTATTTAAGATACCTGACATTAGTAAAAATCACCATAGGATAATTGACAATAATAACGGTATTACTTTATTTTTATTTTTTTAAAGTAGCTCATAAAAAATTATGATATTATATAGTTAACTATAGTATGGAATAGCATTTTTGATATATATCGTGTTTTGATGATATGACATCTGGAAATGATGATGATGATAAAAAAGAGCATTGATAAACATATTCTTTTGCTATACAGGGTATTTGCATATATACTTATTCGATGAAAAAGGATATATTTATTCTTTATTCTAGTTTTATTTTTTCAAATAAAGATTATCTTTCTCTTTATTTTATAAATATGAAAATTTACTTTATTTCTTTATCTTTAGCTTTAAAATAAAAATAATATTTGTCTTTATATATAAAGTAAAGATAAAGTAACACACCCCTGGACATGAAATCCGAGAATTTCAAAACAAAAGGTACTTACCTTTTTCGCCGAATATATATGAAAAAAACATACGAACGACTTTGTATATAAATACTATGTACGCAGACGATAATGTGTGCAGTCAATAATTTGTATTCGTTTAACAAGCTGATCAAGAATGAAACTATTGGTGCTATTATTTATTACTGGTTGCAGTTTTGTTCATGCGATTCTTCCAGATGGCTCCGATTGTCCAGCGGGATATTTCTGTTTAGGTCGAGGTATTACACCAGTCCCATGTCCTCCAGGAACATGGAGTAATGCTGGTGCTTTCCAATGCACGGCTTGTGAGCCAGGATATTATTCAACAACAGGCGGATCAGCTTATTGTATAGCATGTGAACAAGGTCACCACTGTTTATCTGCTAGTTTACCTCCTCAACCTTGTGCATTAGGACATCATAATGAAAAATTAGCACAAACAAAATGTGTTCCATGTGCAAACGGTACTTACACACCTTCACAAGGTTCAGTTAAATGCACACTCTGTCCAGCAGGTTCATCTTGTGCAGAAGCTGCTGACTTACCCAAAAAATGTTCGCCAGGTATAGACGTTCAAAAATACAATTAGATATTTTCTTATATTATTTTCACAGGTAATTATAGTACTGTTGGACAAGTATCATGTACACCATGTCGTCCAGGTTACTATACTACTAAAAATGGTTCTGCACGATGTGATGCATGTCCTGTCGGTCATTATTGTGTAAATGGTGATGAAGCACCACAACCATGTGCACCAGGAACAGCTAATGCATTACAGAATCAAACTGCTTGTGTCCCATGTGCCAGTGGTACATATAGTGCTTGGTCAGGAGCTGTCGAATGTGACACATGTCCAATTGGTAGTTATTGTGATAAAGTAAATCAAGCTCCAAAACCATGCAAAGCAGGATTCTATTGTTTGGAAGGTCAAACTGAAGGTAAACCATGTCCTACTGGTTATCAAACAACATTAACAGGCCAAAGTTATTGCAGAATTTGTTCTCCAGGTATACTTACAATCGACAGTTTAAAAAATAAATAATATATTTCTGTTTTAATTTAGGACATTCATGTCCAAATGCTGCTGGAAATCCCATTTTGTGTGAAGCAGGTTATGCCAATAATCAACATGGTCGTGTTGAATGTGATCTTTGTCCGCAAGGAACGTATGCCGATGTGGCTGGACTTGCTTATTGCATCACTTGTCCCCCCGGCATGATTTGTACGAATACTAGAATGTCACCAAAAGCATGATCTTCAAACAAAGCCGGAGAGCAAACAATTTGCGCCGAAAAATAAAAAGAACTAAAAAACTTAATTTTAAATTTCTTGCTTTATAACCAGTTTTTTTAAGCAAATCCTTCGTATATAATCGAGAGTGTATTGATCTTTAACAGAACTAATAAATATTTTTACGATGTTAATCTTTCACAAAATCATATTCATACAGTTTATACGACTGTCTATGCAACTATATAAACAAAACATTAATATAAATTTGTTCTCTTCTCCAATACACATTACTATTGTATACAAGAGTGATCAACCTTATTCAAACCTAACTTTATTGTTTTCTTCTTCTTTTTCTTTGAGCAACAAAACAAATTTCAATAAAAATACATATCTTGAAATCTTATTAAATTATTCATAGATTTATCGCTATATATTCAAGAAATATACGTTTTTTTATATAATGAACTGATCAAAATCAATATCTGATAAGAATAAATTGCGTAATTTCTCTTATATGCTAATAAGTACAGAAAAAGAAAAAAAATCGCGTATAATAATAATAATAATAATAATAATGGTAATGAGAATAGGAGTAAGAGTAATAAATAGTATGGAAGACATATACAGAAAGAAAGAAAGAAAGAGAAAAAAAACTTTAATAATTAATTAATCAATCTTCGTATTTGAATAAGAAAATAGATGTCAAATGTAAAGATCTCCATATCACATAATCTGACTTATTTTTCATGCTGAAGATTTTTTAATGATAGTCATTGGCATTGTTCGTACAGGTATACGACTTTTTGGATTTGAATTTGATGGTGTTGGTGATGAAATAATATCATTCGATACTGATCGAAGTATTGATATTGTTGTAGAAGATGTTGGTGTTTGTAAACGTGTACACGGTATTGATGATTGAGTATTTGTACTACTTAATGATGATGTTGAACCACCAGTTGATGTTGATTGACGTTGTAAATTTGATGCTGTTAAATCAATTGATGAACGTCGATTTATTGATAATGGTGGTTTAGGTCGAATTTTTGTTGATGGAGGTAAAAGAATTGGTACTAAGCGTTGATTACGTGATTGAGTAGAGGATATAGTTGCTGATTTTGATATAGGTGCAGTATTTGGTCGAATTTTTGCTGAATTAATTTTTGGATTGGATAAAGATGTATTTACAAGTGTTTGTTTACTTCGAGAAGGAGCAATACGAACTGGTGCAGAACTCTATTATAATAAATGAAACAAAAAAATAAATAAATTCACTATTGTAAAAATAGAATATTTTACTTTTGGTGGTCGTGATTCCTTTTTCTTTTCTTCAATTGATTCATTTGTTGGTATAGAAGGTTTAGCTGCTGGCACCGCTGCTGCTGCTGGTGGTGCGGCTGCTATTACTACTACTGCTGGTTTCTTTTTTATTACAGGTGCTGGTTTTGGAGGTACTGATTTAATAATAGGAATTTCAATACTTGTAGGTTTTTTTGTTACTGCTGGAGTAGGTGATACAATTATAGGTGCATTCGAACGTGGTTCACCTCGAAGATTAAGTAAAACTGATTTTTCTGCATATTCTTTTATCTAAAGAATTAAAAATTATTTCTAAATTAATTATTTCTAAATCTAAATACTTTAATTAATTTAAGATCATCCAAATCAGTTAAATTAGGAAAAACATGTTTTTCACCAAGACATTTCCATAACATACCAAGACTTTCAAATGCACTATCACGTACAGATGCATCTGCTTCTGTTGTATTCTAATATATATAAAATAATTTTAGTTTTTTTTTGTTTGAATAAAAAATAATAATAGATAGATATACTTTAATTAATCCTGATAAATATATTTTTAATATTTTCTTTGGTAATGTATTTTGTGTAGCCATAGCAAAACATTTTGTAAGAAATTGTTGTGTACATTGACGAACAATTGGAGTTTTATGTGTCAGTAATGTTACAGCTACTTCCGAAAATTGTTCGAGGTTAGTCTAAAATAAAATATTATCATTTTTTTCTCATATAATTCTATTACACAGTATATATGATAATGTTACAAATCGTAATAGACAAATTTTGATACTATATTTGAATATAAACAAAGCTTCGAAATGTGCAGTGAATATACTCATTTTTATTTTATTGGGAATATAGATGAATAAAAGACTTCTAAGAATATTCTATAGGGAAATACATCAGGCAACAGTTGTTCTTTTAAGATGATTAATTATATAAATAAATAACACTTACTCCAGGATATGTAGCGTCACATGTTTCTCGTAATACTTCAATAACATTTGTTTTCTTCTCTCGACATCTATCTAGGCAAACTTCAATTACCTAATTAATAATAATAATAATTAATAAATATTTCATTTGATACAAGTTTATAAAAAATACTTACACTTATAGCATAATTTTTAAATGATTTTCTTAAACCTTTTGCTAATGCTGTCAAACATTTCGCAGCAACAAGAACGACAGGTATATTACTATCTTTTGCAATAATCTATTTTTTGAAAAGAAAAAAACAAAGTTTCATTTTAAAAATTAATTATTATTATTTATTTTACCTTTTTTAATATTTTTACAAGTTCTGAATAATCAGTATCTGATGTTAGTTTTGGATTTTGAGTAAGTAATGTTAATAGATCATCGAGAACTTCTTTTCGATCTTTCCATTGTTTGGATTCCTAATAAATACACAAAAAAAAACTCAATGAAAGATTTTTCATTCGAATTAAACGTACAATTTTCTCATAAAATTCTTTTGATAATCTTTCAAGAATATTGACTGGTTCTAACATTTCGAATGGATCTAAATCTTCTTGCACTAAAATAATTCAAAATAGATAAATAATTTAAATGTACTAAACTAATTTACTATCAAGATTTGGATCTTCGATAATAACAGATGAAGGGATATTTGTTTCTTCCATTTTTTGTTTAAGCTCTTGTTGTGAACGAAGAAAACGTGTTTGTCGAGGTTTATCAATACCATTTAAATCTAATTTGTCAAATTCAGTTTGTAACTCTTGCATCTAAATTTTTAATAGAAAACAAGAATAATTTTATTTTTTCGGAAGAAAAGTACTTGGATTGGTTTAACATTTTGTATCATTGGCATTAATGTTTGTTTGCCAATCCATTTATAAATTTCAACAATCAATAATTTTGATTCATCACGTACAGTTTTATCTCGATCATCGAGTAATGGAATAACTTGTTTGAGAAATGGTTTTATTGGAAGAACTTTTGAACCAAATTCACTTAAAATTAAATATATTTATTACAGAGAGAGAGAGGAAAATAACTATGAAATGCTTTTAATGATGTACTATACTATTAGAAAAATCAAATAAAAGTCAGAATGTTTTATCGTTTCACTTTATTTTTCTGTCAATTACGTTTATAATTGTAAGAGAACATTAATCATACATATTTTCTGTATTATTTGCCTGTGATTATGTCATACATATCTGATGTCTGATAAACGATCAATCATAGCATCATGAAAGATTATTGTGACATATTGTCGATAGAAACAATTCATAAGGTATCATTATACTAAGTAATAATCTCAATGAGAATAGAAGTTATAATAAATGTAAAATGAACTATTTGTATATTTAGTAAATTTTACTTTGAATTTGATATTTCGATTTATTAACTTACGATAATCCTTTTCGAAGCAATTCAAGACAAGCTTGAACAATTTTAGGTTGTTTATTTTCAAGACCTTTAACAAGTTCTTCTGTAATTTCTACTTGTTTTTCAATTTCAATATACATTAATATAATATCAAATGCTCGTTCTTTCATTTTCGAACGTGCATTTAAACATTTTGTAATTATTCCTGATGAAACTTCATTTACTGTTCTATTTAAAAAAGAAAAAAACAAAAATTTCAATTAAATTGAATATGGAATATTCGTACTTTGCAGCTATATTTGCTTCTTCAACAAAAGCAAATACAGCATCTAATGCTTTTTCACGAGCATTTTCATTTGAATCAATAACAAATTTTTTCATTAAACTAACATATTTCATAAATTCTGGACTTTGATCGGAGTTTTGTGTACGAAATAATGTGACACATTCTTCATAACCAGTCATACGAGCTTTCCATGCCTTAAAAGAAAAAAATTTGATAGTTTTAGTTTATTTCTTTTTTCTTTAACATACTTTATGTTGAACTTTCTGATCACATGGCAATTTCTGCCATTCATTATCGTCAATTCCACCGTTAGTTGCCATCTAGAATTATATTCATAGATATATAAGGATAATATGATGACATAAATGAGATCTATAGTTCTCGCGGGACAATGAGAATGAAATAGGAGTTCAACTGATGTGATGAGTCATACATTATAATTTATCCAATCTAATTTAAAAGTAAATAATTCATGAAAAGATATATTATTAAGTATAATTAGATACTATTTCAATGTTATTTTCAATTCTAAATTTTACATACTCATGCGATAGATGTCTCTACTTGTCAATCTCTAAATATATTATCGATGCCAATTATTGAGGCTTTAAACACATGGATTAAAAATATGCTCAAATAAGTTTAATTTAAAATTTTGATTAAATTGAACAATATATTTACATAGAATTGTATTTCTGAATTAAACGAACAAAAAGCAAAGATAAGAAATAATTATGTGTTATCTTTTATCGTGTCTGTAATACATTATATAACTCATTTGTTTGATTTCGTTCTTTCGACGCTGTATAAAATGGATACCTTATGTATTCATCATGATCATGATGGTATATCCGATGATGAAGTTAAATTATGGCTTAATGGTGTTGTTCCACCAATATATTTATCAAATGGTGAAAAACCATCAAATAATCCAACTCGACAAGCACTTGAACAAACTCTAACTTGTTTAGATAAAGCATCACAACCAACTTTAACATATTCATCTGGTTTAGCAGCTGCAATTTCAGTTTGTTTAACTTTTTTAAAAAAAGATGATCATGCTATTATTGTTGATGATGCTTATTCAGGAACAACAAATATTTTTCAGTATGAATATTTCATCAAAATACCTTTTTTTTCTTCATCATATTTTATTTCTTTAGAGATTGTTTGAGTCGATGGTCAATACATTCATCATTTATTAATCTATCAGAAACACCATCAATTATAACTCAACATTTTCTTCCAAATACTCGTCTTGTATGGCTTGAATCACCGTCAAATCCTTCTATGCGTTTAGTTGATATTAATACAATTTCATCAATTGTTCATTCACATGATTCATCTATAATCGTTATTGTTGATAATACTTTTGCTTCACCTCTTAATCAATCACCACTTTCACTTGGTGCTGATATTTGTCTTTCATCATTAACAAAATATATAAATGGTCATTCAGATGTTATTGGTGGAAGTTTATCAATGAATCGAAAAGATTTACATGAAAAATTAGTTTCAAATCAATCGTTATTTCATATGAATTTATCACCATTCGATTGTTATTTAGTACGACGTGGTTTAAATACACTTCCAATACGTATGAGACAACATATGAAAAATGCATATCAAATAGCACAATTTCTTGAACGTCATCCAGCTGTTGAACATGTGTTCTATCCAGCTTTACCATCACATCCACAACATGAAATTTATAAAAAACAAGGTGGAGCATCAGGCATGTGTAGTTATATATTAATTGAAAAGGCTGATGTTGAACAATTTCTTCTTGCATTAAAATTATGTACAGTCGCAGTTAGTTTAGGTGGATGTGAAACACTTATTGAATCACCAGCTATAATGACACATCGATCAACATTATATGCAATTGATGTTAGCGGACAAATGTCTGAGAAATTAATTCGAATGTCTGTTGGCTTAGAAAATGTACGAGATATTATCATGGATTTAGATCGAGCATTAAATCGATCAATTAATCAAGATATTATAAATAATAATCTAACTAATAATAATGATGATTTGGAATTAATTGATGAAGCAAAACGTATATCTCATCGTTTATATCAATCTCGTGTACATGTTATAACTGCTGCTTTACGTACAACATCTGGTCGTATCTATTCAGGTACTCATTTTGAATCATCTCAAGCACATGCAAGTATATGTGGAGAAGTTAGTGCTATATCAGCAATGATGAATGATGGTTATCAAGATTTAGCAACAATAGTAGTATTACGTGGATTTGATGAAGATAGAAATCGTTTTGAAATTATAAATCCATGTAATAGATGTCGAGTATTAATTAATGATCTCAATTCTAATGCACAAGTTATTGTGGGAACAACTGATAAACCGATTCGAATGACTATAAGTGATTTGATTTAGTGATTATTTCAATAATATACTTGTAGATAATATCATTTAATACAACAAATGGGAGGGTGAACAACCGACAGGTCTTCAAAAGACAGATACAAATAAAGAGAATGACTATCACTCCGTTCACACTCATAGTCTTATTGAAATGATAAATGTAAACTTAGTTTTTATTGTTTAAAAAAATAAAAAGTTGATTTTGATTTTAATTAAATTAGGCAAGATTCATGCAAACAGCTTTATATTCAGTAAAGACTTCTTCTGAGTATGGATAACCTTCGCGACCTATACCACTATCTTTAACACCACCAAATGGCATTCGAAGATCACGTAATGCCCAACAATTAGTCCAAACTGTTCCACACTAAAAAAAACAGGAAATTTAAACTTTTCAAAAAAAAACAAAAAATATATTTCTCTAATCTTACTTCCATTTGTGCAGCAACACGATGAGCTCGACCAAGATTTTCTGTCCATATACAACCACAAAGACCATATTGAGTACTATTAGCACGTTCGATAGCCTATAAAAATTAATTTTTGATATAGATTAATTATCGACATAATTTCAAATTTTTACTTCATCTTCAGTATCAAATGGAACAATACAAACAACAGGTCCAAAAATTTCTTCCGTCATTAATTTTGATTTATCATCAACATTTAAAATTACTGTTGGCATTACATAATAACCTTTATTTGTTGCTTTTATATTCGTATCCATTTCACCTGCAGTTATAATTTCATTTCCATCTTGTTTGGCTATTTCAAAATATTTTTCTATTTTATTTTTATGTTCTTTACTAACAACGGGACCCATATTCGTCGTATCATTAAATGGATCACCGACTTTTAATTTTCTAATGAAAAAACAAAATTTTAAATAGAGACAAAAATATTCGTTTTATACATACTTGACTTCAGGAATAAATTTTGCAAGAAATTCATCGTATATTCCTCGTTGAACATATAATCGACTTGTACATAAGCAAATTTGCCCAGAATTTGAAAAACATGATCTAAAAATATTTTTAATCAATAACAAATATATCTATATATTCAATATAAATACCTTATTAAAACTGGAAGCAATTTTGAAAGAACAACATCATCAAAAATAATAGCTGCATTTTTTCCTCCCATCTAAAATTACAGTTATTATTTTTATAAATATAAAGTAGAAGAAACTTTTTTCATATTACTTCAAGAGATAATTTAACAGATAAACCAGCTGTTGCTTTTTTAATATGATAACCTGTCATGGTACTACCAGTAAATGAAATAACGTTGACATTTGGATGAGTAATTAATGTTTGACCAACACGTGGACCAAGACCGAATACGAAATTCACAACACCAGGTGGAAGTTCTATACAGAAAAAAAGATAAAAATAAGTACTATGTATATAATAGTTTACAGTGACATTTTTTTAGAAAAATGCTAATATCAAAATAATTAGTATGTACTTCTATTATCTAGCCAGTACTCTTGAGTATCGACATGCTTTTTATATTGAAAATAATAGTTTATTCTAGACATGAGAGGAAACGGAAAGTTACCTATCAGGTTGTAGTAAAATCCTCTTTCTTCTCGAGGTTTTTACTAGCAACTCGATATCGTGTTTCACATATTAATCCTGATGGGATTATGCTAAAAGCTTTTTTTTAAAGTGCTAGGCGAGTATATGCGACAAGTTTAATTAATTTAAGTCATTATTTTTATCAAAAAAAAGAAGAATATTATGTATGTTAACATACACTTTTGGTTCGTTTTCTTATTACTAAAAAGTACATCTCAACATAACTTGAATTTGCTATATGATTCCATGCATGCTATTAACAAAAGTATTACTTCTATTTTTATTCATGTGGAATTAATAAGAAGAAAAGATTGGTTTCATGATAAATATATTTTCTGAAGCTATTAATAACACATGTTCATATGACGAACAATTTTATTCATCAATATTTATTAGGAGAATCATTTAAAAATATATTTATTCGATTCATAATTATATTATTATCAATTATTATTATCTGGTGTTGTTTAATAATTATTTTAATATTTTATACAAGATATCAAAGAAAAAAACAAATACAAAAATTACTTGAATCTCATCATCATGCCTATGATAGTCAAGTAAATTTAACAACGAAACAATTAAATGAGTTAAAACAAAGTTTTCGATATCATTCATCATCAAAACCATCTTCTCCAATTGAAAAATTATTTTCACCAATTAAACAAGAACAATTTTTTTCTGCTATAAAAACTCAAACATCAATGCGACAAAAATTTTATGAAGACAATAAATTATCATTAAATTTCAATGGAACACATTCGATTATAAAAGCAATGACAAAACCACCGTTAATCTCCAATCCTAAGAAAGACGACATACAACAACATCCAAAAAATCTCAGTGATAATAAATTAAATAAACAAAATCAATATTTATTAAATATTTGTGATAATACTTCAATAGTAAAATTTAGATCAATTAGAAAGAAAAAAAATAATTTTCTTTTTTTCTTCTAGAAACAAGAAAAGAAATATGTACGACATAGTATTTCAACTGATAATCGCGATGAAAATTTTCCAATAGGAAAATCTTCACAAAAATTTAGTATAAAAATTCGTTCGTATTCAAATATGAATTTAAATTCTTCGCAATTGTTAACAAATACAAATCAAAACCGATCATTTCTACATAATTTAATATCGAAAAAACGACGATATCCATTATTAAATAATGCAAGTACCGATTCCGATAATTATACACGAGATTTACCAACAGTTATGATTACTGATACAAATACATCCTTTACAAATATTGTTGAATTAGAAACATTCGAAGATAAAAATCGTACGACATCTGATATGGAAAAACGTTTAATAAATCAATTAAGAGCATCTCGTCGACCGCGATATTCAACATAAATACATACCTATATCTTGCATTACTTGAGCAAGCATACCAGCTGTAACTGATGTAAATTCACTTGGTTTACAAACACAAGTACAACCGAATGCAATGCATGGTGCTATTTTCCATGTTAATAAATATAGAGGCAAATTCCATGGACTAATCAATACAGCAACACCTACTGGACTTCGTGTTGTGTAGGTTATAGCATTAGGCACTGTTCCATGTTGAGTAAAACTAAATTAGATTATTCTTGGATTTTTTTTATTTCGATAAAAGAAAATGATATTTTACCTTTCACGACTTTGTGTTATAGCTTGTGCAAAGAATCGAAAGTTTTCAACTGCACGTGGGATTTCCAACGTACGTGCTAATGATAAAGGTTTACCTTGATCTAATGATTCAGCACGTGCGAAATCTTCTAAACGCTCTTGTATCAAATCAGCGATTTTATTAAGATAATATGCTCGTTTTGTAGCTGTTTGTCGACTCCATCTGGATAAAGAGAAAAGAAAGAATTTATTTTAAAAAAAAATTTCTTTCATACGCAGGAAACGCTTTTCGAGCTGCTTCAATAGCTTGATTAGCATCTTCTGGTGAACTATCCGCTATATGAGCAATAACGTCTTCAGTACTTGGATTAAAACTGTCCAAATAACTTTCTGTTGGTACGAATTTACCATCGATAAAATTGTTTACTCGTTGAATAGAAGTCATTTTGATACGCTATTTGCTTGTTTTGATGATATGCAGGTAAAGTGCAAGATGTAATCGTTGAAATGATTAATACAGTCGTTCTTAACCTGTTCTGTTTACTTCATTAAGATATTTCGTAAAAGAAATATACCTCTATTTCTTATCATTTAACTTACGAAAGAAGATGTCGTCGTCACCAAATTAAAATAATAAGTATATTGACTTTGTACATAGTTTAAGTTAAAGAGAACGATGAAATATTTTATTATTTATTCAAGTTTTCGAATTAAAATATTAAAAAAAGATAGAGTAAACTCAAAAAAGAACGACATTAAGTACTTAAAATAGTATTTATGTTTTATTTCAATAGAATTAATTTGTAAATGAAATTATGCTTATTGATGTTTAAAATAAAAATAAATGTTTAGTTTTGAATAAAGATACAATATTTTTGTTTAAAAATTAACATTAGCAGAAACACGAACGCCAGCAACTGCATTAAGAACTTTTCTGAAAAGATTATCGATATTGTTTTCATATGCGAGTTGTTGTTGTTGAGCTATTTGATCAAGATTTTGAGCATTTTGAAAAAGTTGAAAATATTCACTACAATTTGTTGAAAGAATATTTGCATTAGTAGCACTTTTAAGACATGCGATTGTTTGAGCATGATCCTGAAGAACGTTATTATATGCTGGATTTGCTTCAAGAGAAGTTATCATTTTTTGAGTTTCACTCAGAAATGCTGCAGCTAAAGTTCCATTATCACATAATGTTGATGACCAATCTTCAACAGCGACTGTTGGACCACGGCGCATCATTGGATTCGACGGGAATTTTCGCATCGAACGCATATCACGACCCGAAGCAACGGCCACATAGATCTATGAAGAAATTGTATTTCCATATTATTTAAAAGAAAAACAAAATAACTTACAAGAGTAGCGAAGATAAAAATTTTAATCATATTTTTATGTTTTTGAACAATAACTTTTCTCCGATATTTATATATGAGTTGTCCTGTTGAAAAACAATGAAGAGGCGAGAGAGAGAAAAATACAAAACTATTTTTTTTTTCTTTAATTATAAAGCCACTTCAATAAAATATATAAATAATTAATCATTTTTTTTGCCTAGTTTTAGTGCGATTTTTTCAATATATAAATGTAGTAAACAAGTTTTTTTTAAAAACAATTGTGTATAAACCATTTACTTAGTTACGCGTATGCTATTATTATAAGAAAAAAACATGACTTTTTCTTTTGTTAATTAAATTGTAAATTGAATGTCCTTTTACAAGAAAATCGTTGAACTGTTAAAATATATCTTGCGCATTGAAGTTCGATGAAAATGTAGGCATAGAATATATGAAAATGAAAGAGTTTTTTTTTTAAATAACCCAAGAATGTATTCAAATTCATATGTAGACTATCGTAATATTGTATGAATGGTCCTTAATCTGAAAGAGTACTGAAATTTATCGTAATCTCTAATATATTGATCTAAATGAATCGACTACTTGCAGACTCATTATTTAGCTAGTATGAAATTAATATAGATAGTTTTTAATAACAATTTCAAAGATAAATATTATAATCAGATGAAATTTTGGTTGATAATTTCTTTACCAGGTTAAGTTTTTATTCAATTCGATATATATATTATTATCTAAATTATCAATGAAACTCTTAGAAAATTTAGTCCTCATAGTATATAATGATAGTCAGACTGTTAATAAATTTAGATAGCTTACAAAAATAATCTTCTTATGATATATTAATATTATTTTTTTCTTTTAATAGAAATTCATATCATTAAAGCTTCTTTCAGAAACCTAGATATGCTAAAATTAAATTGCACAATTTGTTAATAATGAAATTTTTATAGAAAAATAAACATCTAATAATGCATGTAATATTTCCTGTTATTGTCAAAAAATGTGTAAATGATGATATATAGAAACTTCAAAATTTAGTTTGAAATAAATCTATTAAATTTTCTTATTTCGATTATGATCACTTCTATTTCTCTTAATGATAGTGCGCAATCCTATATGTAAAATTCATTATGGAAATGGAAAAGAAAATAATTGTCTTTTCTAATTTTTACAATTACTGTTTCATATTTTAAATAAATATAATTAATTTAAGTAAGAATGGATAACTGTTATTATTATTCATTTGAACAGCTATAATAACTTCTAAATAAGATATTTTTGTCATTGCCGTTAAAATTCTTTTAAATCGAACATATTTTTAAGATAAAAAAAAGTTATTCGACTTTATTTCGGAGAATCAACACTACTTAATTACATTAATACGAATGGCACATATCCTTAGTTATAATGAATGCAGTTAATTTTCAAAAGATTGTTCTGTTTGCATATTTTTTAATTCATATTAAATTGTTTAGTAAGACAAATATATGAAGAAGATTCATTAAACTATTTTAAGATTTTTTCTTAAAAAAGAATTAAGAAATACATGAACATCAAATTAATCTTTCTTTCATTTCAGAAAGAAAAAATTTTGTTTTATATGATTGATAATTATATCCTATTCAAAACTAAGTTTAGTCACTGTTTCTCTCTATGTCGATATATTCTTTTCAATTAGTTCAATGTTCGTATCCGGAATCCAGATGGGCTCATTTTTGATTTGCATGAGATGTTATCTTATACGTATAATTGCTAACTATCTTTCATTCATTTTTGGTTTTAATTTTAAGTAGATTTTCGAAATATTTGATTTCATTTATTTGGACAAACAACATATTATTTATTGCTTCAATTTAAATCAAAAAAATTGATTTAATTCATGTTTATATCTCCTACACTTCACAGTAGGATTCGAAACCGGAAAGGAAGAGGCTTGTCTATAATTCCATATATTTATTTCAATTGTTTATCTTCTTTTTTTCTAAGAGTGTTAATTATTATAAAAATCAGTAGAAATTTTTTCATTTTTCAAAAAGGATAAAAATTCTTTAGTACATCTAAAATGGATGATAGACGTGTTAAGAAGGTATGACATAATACAGTTTGTATTATATTAAATTTTGATGAATTATTTATTTAGTTAACTCATTTATTTTCGTTAAATAAACAAGTAAAAGATAGGAGAAGAAAAAAAGATTTTTTTTTATTTATCGTTGTTTTCTATTTCTCTATAAAGATTTACAAAGATGGTAATGATTGTTTTCTCTGTAGTGCTTGTAAATTAGGTATAACAGATGAATTTTATTTACGCGCTGGTTCAGGAATTTATCATGAAACATGCTTACAATGTTCAGTTTGTCAAATCGTACTTGATGAACAATCAACATGTTTTTTAAAAGGTGTACATATTTTATGTCGACAAGATTATCATAAGTATGATTGAAAACAGAATAAAATCTAATTCTATATATATATCTATTTTCCATATAAGATATTTTTCAAATAAATGTTCAAAATGTACTCGTTTTATTCATCCAAATGATTGGATTCGACGTGCATGTGATAATATTTATCATTTAACATGTTTTGCATGTTATATATGTGAACGACAATTATCAACAGGCGAAGATTATTCTTTAGAAGATGGCCATATTTTATGTAAAATGCATGTTATTAATAGAAATGATGATAAAAATGATGGTAAATTATTAATTTATATTTAAAATTTAACCTTTTGTTTCTTTAGATAATAAACAAAATAAAACAAAAAGAATTCGAACAGCATTTAATGAAGTACAATTACAAATTTTACAAGCTAGTTTTGAAATTGATCAAAATCCAGATGGACAAGAATTAGATCATATTTCTCAAGTAATAGGTACCCAAGAATTGATTTCTACAAACCCATAATTTTAGTTTAATACCAATCATTGAATACTACAGATTAGATATGATGGCGTAACTAGAAAAAAATTGTAGAAGAGGAAGGGATTCGGCCCCTCCAGCCACCATCCAGTTACGCGCTAATTAAATATTATTGTTTGATGAATCTATGTGAGTCTTCTCAAGTAACAAAATTTGATTGGGATTTTCAACAAAATCAATTCTTCATTGCTATGATAACTCCAAAGATCAAACTCATTATTTTATATGAATTTAAAAACTTATATAGTTTATCTCCTTCGAATAGATGATTTTTTTTCTTATTACTGATTATACTAGTATATATTTTAGGATTAAGTAAACGAGTTATTCAAGTATGGTTCCAAAATACTCGAGCTCGACAAAAAAAGGTGAGTCATTATTGAATTCAATATTAATATTAGTTTTATGTTTAGCAAAAGGCAATATCTCAAATACAAATGCCAAACAGTGATAGTGATACTTCAATGTCTGATGATATTGGTGATAGTGCGTTAGTTTATATTTCATAAAATGTTTTTTCTTATATTTATTTATAAAAAAATTTATTTATTTATAGTCTTATCAAAAGAAACTATACAAAATTGGTATCACGATGGTCAGACACTTACGAAAACGATACCACATATAATAAGCATTAAAAATATTAATTTATCTTTATCATCATTCGATCATTATGATTAGAGAATTAAATATTCCTAGATCAATGCACAAACATTAAAATTTTAGTCATTCTTTTTGTTGTTATTGTAATAAATCTGAAAATTTGAATATATTTGGTATAATGCTAATCAATGAAACATTACTTCGAAATTGTTTTTTTATTTTTCTTACATATTAGCACTCAGTCATGTCAACTGATGTTGATACAAAAATATTACCACCTGTGCCACATTTATATCATGTCAGCAGACGATTCTGTTTGAAAATGTCAAATGTTTTCTACTACGAACGAAATCATCAAAAAATAAGTGTACTCTAAACACTTCTATATTAATTTGCATGAAAATAGAAGAAAGTTAAATAATACTTTTTTTACTTGTTAACTAATCAAAGCAGTAGAAATTATTTTTATATATAATCAGATAAGAACATCTTAGATTCGATAAAATGATTTCTATTATTATTAGAAACCACTGAAGCATCATTAAATACTTTGACAAATATTTCTTTGAAAAAACTTACAATATGAGAGTGTGGGTGTGGAGAGTAAAACAAATTGTAATTAATAAAATTATCAACACGATATATTATGCATGATAGTCTATACAAAATTTCGTTTGAGAAAATTAAAAAATAAATTCATGACTTTCGTTTTGTTTTCAACGTATTAAAACTTATAATCTACTACAATATTTTTTTCACCTGTGTTTCTTTAGTACAAGTTTATCTTGACCCACTTAATCGTTTCAACTTGACATTTTTTCGCAAATAGAACAAATATGTAAAGAAATGATCGCTCTTTCTCTATAACAATTATAAAAATACCGCTCATCATAAAAGCATTTAGTGGCACTGCATGCATAATGGTATGAATAATAAATTGCGACAGTCGTATACTTTTTTTTCTTCGTCTTTATTTTTTTGCAACAACAAAAAAATAATGAATGGTTGCCGAGCTCTTATAAGACCTTTTTTTTCATCGTGTCCAAAGTGTTTGCTTCCTTCATTTATTCATCAAATCGAAGAAAAATATATTTTTTCTCTCTCTTGTTTATTAAACATCCAGAGTAATTTTAACAGAATGAAAAAAAAAACTATCAACGTATAAATACTATTGAATGATATAAACTTCATTTCATAAATAGAAAAAAAAAACCTGGTGAAATAACGCAAATGAGTTTATATATTCTTATACTTTTTACAACAGCTGTTGTTATTAACGGACAATTAAGTAAATTTATTTTTTAGTTTAAAATAATTCATTTTATATTCCGTGAAATTATTAAGATTGTTCAACATATAATCCATGTGGTCGTAATGGATATTGTTTTGATATTGATAATGGTGAATGGAGTTGTGAATGTAAATTTTGGTGGTCAGGTTCAACGTGTAAGGATCTAACAAATAGCGGAGTACAAGTTATTGTACTTGGTTGTTTATTAGGATTACTTGTTATACTTTTCTATGGTTTGCAAATTTTTCATAAAATTCGACTTAAAAAAAAACAACCAAAAGAAGTTAAAGAAAAGTAAATATCATTATTCTTTATTTTTGAATTTTATCAATTGTTAATTTTAGAGCAATTGTATATGATACAACATTAATTGATTTGGCATTTAAAAATGCTAGACGATCGGCTCGTTTATCATCATGCATAGTCGGTGTTTTAACGATGATCTTAGCGGCGATTGGACTTATTTCAAAATGGTCATTAATTCAACCAATACACAATGAAATTGTGAATAAATATGAAACAAATCAATCACTTTACTATGTGGAAAATTCGTTCTGTGATAAAACGGATTATGATTATTTTAATGTTGTTACATTTCCTATTTCATGTTTTTTAATTCTTTTATTTATAATAACTACAAAAAGAACATCACTCTTCCGTGATAAACTTTGGGGATATGGAGCACCACCAATGCCTGTTGATTTTATCTCACATATTGATCGTACATTTGCTGCTGTTATTTTTGCTATATGTGCAGATGAATTATTAAATATAATACAACAAGTACTTGATGGAAATTCAAAAGGAGGTGATGGTGTTATTGTTGTTTATCTTTTACGTTTACTTCAAGTTCTTGTTATGGGTTTTCGTTACTATCCATTTCTAGCAGCTGTTTATATGAATACAATTTTTAGTTTATCATGTGCAACTTTATATGCTTGGTTTGATTTTTCAATGACAATAGTTAATCAAGGTATGTGTCAAGTTGATTTTTATCCAACATATGATGATTATTTGGATAATTCAAGTGATATTGATATGATGTTTAGCTATTATGGTACTGGTCCTAATTTAGTTGTTATACAATTATGTACTGATATACCAAGATATTTATGTTTAGCTTATATAAATATTAAAATACCTATGTTATTATTTAAAAGACTTTATCAAAGATTTAATAGACGAAATCTGTCACCAGAACAGAGAATGTTATTACAATTAACTCGAGAACAAAAAGCATTCTTTCATACAATTCGTCCGGATTCAGTGGAAATGCTTTATGTTCAAAATCTTTTTCGTTCAGCAGATCATCGTCCACGTAGTCATACGTTATGGGGGCGTTTAATACCAAAAAAAATTTATGAATGGAGAGATGATTTTCGATTTTCAGCACGTATTGTTTGTGTTTATTCATCAATGCTTCTTCTCTTATATTTTGTTATTATTCAAGCATGTATTAGAGTACTACCATACTTACAACCATTAGAAGATACTATTCAAACAGCAGTTGATGCATTATCAGTTGTATTCATTCCAGATCCTCAAGATAATGGACAAAACAATGGTGATCCTACTAGCTCATTAAATTTTCCAATTCCAAAATTAGTTAGACCCTATTTATTTGCTGTATTTATAACATTAATTGTTATAGTATTACAATTATTGGTATTACTTGCAAATATGCGACGAAATTTATTACAATTATTTCGCGGTGAAGATTGTGAAATACCAAGACGACAAAGATCAAGATATGTTTCATATGCATCAGGAAATATTCATTTTGCTGGATATTTTATTGGTTATTTAATATGGGGTTTTATTCTTATAGCAGCATTTTCAGTAGTTATATGCGTTGCTATTGATGCATTTATTACATTTGGAAATGTTCGATTTGTCGAGAAAATTTTGCTAAAAGTTATACCAAGTGTTTTATTCGTATTATTTAAACAATATCTTAATAAAATACTTGCACAATATGTATTTTTACAACATCGTGGAGAAGTTCTTGCATTAAATAATCGACGTATATTAATGATATTTATTTTCTTTAATTTCTTCTTAGATGCTTTTCTTGGTTTTATTTCATCCATAGTACGTTTAATTAAAAGTGTTATCGGTGGAATTATTTATATGTGTCGATTAGATTATTCTCCATTAGGTCGTAAATTAGAAACAATGGATGGTGGTTTTAGTTCTTACTGTGGGTTTTTACATACAGAATGTACTCATCGACATCCAGTTATGTTAGTATTTGTTTCATTACTTTATACACAAACTAAAATAAAAGAATTGGCAATGTATGATAGAAATTATATTGATAATTTCAAAGGACATGTATTTGAATTAAAATTGCAATCTTCATCAAGATATGTTCGTAAATGGAAATTAGCTGTTTTTCTTATTCGAAATCCAACGATTGTTTTTTTTCGAAAATCATTTCTTAGCCAATTAAATATGGAAGATCTTCATGCTTTGAATGATCTTGATAATGATGATAAAAAGAATTTGCAACGACGATTATCAATTTATACACGTCGAATGTCTGCTGCTCGTGCAAGCATTAGTTCCGAAACTAATATACACACTATTGAAAAACAAAGATTTTGATATTTCATTTGTGATAATAATAAAAAAAAACCAATTGTGAATTTATTTTTTTCTGTAAAGTCTATTTTAATTCTAATAAAAAAAAAGAATCTTTATTTTAATATTAATCGACCGTGTATTTATAGTACAGATTCATATTATTCTGATTAAATATTGACTTTATTAGAGATATAATAAGAATCTTAAAATAATTAATCTTTTTATAGTTTAGCTGTCTTTTCGTTAAAAATACAATGACTTATTCTGACTCAATTATTAAATAAATAACAATGTATAAATGATCTGTTAATAAAATGATTACATGTAATAATTATATTAAATGCTTTGTCATGATCAACAGAATCTTCTAATTATATTTATTGACACTTTTTATAATTATTTTTTATGGTTTAAACAAGAAAACTATTTTTGACAGTTATCAATTAAATCAGTGTCATGAAAGATTTTAAAAAAGCGGATCAGCTTTCTCTATACTCATATCCGGCTTGACTATTCCATTTTCTTATTAGAGTTTCCTACATATTGAAGCTATAGGCAGAAAGAAAGAGAGAAAGAAAGAAAGAAAAAAGTGTTGTCAGACATCACTATAAGGATCATTCATAAGCTATCAAGTGAATGGATCGCATTATTTATAGTAGAATTTCTTATAATTAATTCATAGCATGTCAATAATTGGCATGCCAATGAATTCTTGTATTTAGTTTCTTTCGTGTTTAATTAGAATTATAGTTAAAAGTCATTTCTATTCTATTAGCAATGAAGATAAAAAAATGAACTTTTGTTTCTAAGGTATTTTTCAGAATTAGTATCGCGATTAGAAACTTGTTTTTAACATGAATAGATGATGTAAATTAACTTTTTCTGTTCATCGTACGTTACAATTATAGGAAAAAAACGAGTTTTTTTTAAATAGGAAACAGTCTTTTTTTTCTTCCCCTTAAAGCTGTTCGTTCAAAGAACAGTAAGAAAAAAAACTGGTGTGAACTGAAACGATAGAGTGGGCGAGAAAGAACAAATACATTCACCAGTAGAAAAAAAAACAAATCAGCTTTTTATCGACAACAAAATCATATAAAGACTATTAGAAATATAGAAGAAGGAAATGTTGATTATGCTATGCATCACTGTTACAAGAGTATGATTTCATTTATATAAATTTATTTAGAATATAATATAATATGATTTACAATGAATAATATAATATTATTTAATAAACATCTTTTTTTTACATCAACACAACAATTAATAAGAAAGGTAAATATCAATAAAATATTTAAAGGGAAAACGATTGAAATTGCATATTATTTAGATCAAAATTCATGATAATCATTATCGATTATTTTCATCATCATCCAAAGTCTATAGTACTGATATTGCTGCACCGAGTAAGAGGAATCTTTTGAACATAAAATTATACGATAAGTTTTATTCATTTAGAATTTCAAATTGATTTACCCGGAATAGAAAACTATGGTTTTGAAGGTGCATCATCATTTATGATGTGTAAAGATGGAGCCGTGGCTTCGGATTCAGAAGAAGCATCGAAAGTTGGAAGGTAATATATTACTATTCA